AAAGTGGTTAGGATAGATATATAGTTGCATTCTCTTAATGAATAGAATGATTTGTTCTAATGGTGTTTGTAAATAGGATCTCAAGTCCGCATGTTGTACAGCAATTAACCACTAAGAAGAATATATGCAGTGTATTATTTGTTGAAACTACTTCCGGTTTGATTTGAAACTGTCTCATTGCTATCTGTTTATCAATAAAATTTTGAAAAAAAAATAAAGTCAGTGCAAACTTAATTTAGGGGGCTAGGGCTAGGAAATCTGCTGAAGCTTTTCTACCTCATCATTTATCATTAGGCCTTAAAAAAGTAATGTTTAAATTTATTCTTAATATAGTCTATTCATAATACTTTAAGAATGGCATTAGAAGTTTATTTAGATAATCCCAACTTAGTTGCACTGATAACCTGAAAAGAAACTTTATTTGCAGTTAAATAACATAAGAAGGTTATATGTTAGGTATGCATCTCAAGTATTGTCATCTGAATTAAATGGTCATGGCTTGGGAAAGAAAAAAAAAAAGACAGCTTTCATCGCATCCCACAGGTTCCAGTAAGTTGTATTTGCATTTTTGTTTGATTGTAAATATTGTTTAATTTCTTCTTTAATTTTATCTGTGACCCACTGGTTGTTCCAGAGGTTGTTACTTAATTTCCATGTGTTTATGGTGTTTTTGTGGATTCCTTTGTCAATGATGTCCAGTTTCATTGCACTATGGTCAGATAGTACGCCTAGGATAATTTCTATTCCTTTGCATTTACTTAAGCATGCTCTGTGTGCTGGTGTACGGAGAGCATCCTGGGTGCAGCTAAGAAGAATGTGTATTCTGACATTGCTCAGTGAAGCATTCTGTAAAGGTCTAGTAAGTCCCTTTCTTCACAGATTTGGTTTAGTTCTATTATTTCTTTGCTGGACTTTTGCTTAATTGATTTATCTCTTTATGACAGTGGCATGTTAAAGTGCCCCATTACAGTTGTATTATTGCTTGTTTGATTTTTCATGCCTGTTACAATTTGCCTTACCTAGCTGGGTGCTCCTACATTGGGTGCATATATATTCATGCATGCTGTTATCTCTTCCTCATGCGGTTCCCTCCTCCCAACAAGTATGTAGTAATCATCTTTATCTCTTTTAATCCTTCTTGGGTTGAAGTCGATGTTGTCAGCAAACAGAATAGCTACCCCTGCTTTTTTCAGGGTCTTGTCTCATAGAGTATTGTTTCCTATCCTTTGACTTTCAGTCTATGAACTTCTTTTTGAGTTAAATGTGTTTGAGCCTTGACCTCTGAAAGGTTCACCATCATTGGTCTGGAGCAGTGATTTTCATGCTGCCCTGCTGCCCCACCAACTTCCACCGTGGAGGTGACAGTGGGGTAAGCATGGGTTCGGAGAGGAAAAGCTTTTGGATTTCACTGGGCTCCATCCCATAGGTTTGCTTTGCCCTGAGAAGCATCCCCCACCCCCACCCCCACCCCTAGCCCAGTGCTGAGGGTGGAATCTAGGGTTTTACAAATGCTAAGCAAGTGCTCCTCCACCAAGTGATGCCCTAGCCCACAGTTATGCTTTTGTCTTTTTTTTTTTTTTTTTTTTTTTTTTGTTTTAGTCAGGATCTTGCTATGTAGTTGAAGCTGGGCTTGAGTTCACTATGTTGCCCAGGCAGGCCTCAAACTCATAACACCTCCTGCCTCAGTCTCCCAAATGCAGGGATTACAGGCATGTGCCACCATGCCTGCCCTTGTCTCATCTATTTTTATCCAAAAATCTCTGGATTAGACTAGCTGGATCCAAGCCAGAGTCAGGTTATCTGGATAGTCTAAACAATTCTGGGTTCCAGGGCACACTTGGATTCACCCATTCATCCCTTTGACAAGTTTCTCTTGGATCCCAGTAGTTAAAGGCGCTGGGGGGGGGGTAGATTACATACAATGGAGCCTCTGAAATGACTCTAAATGTACATCTCTCCTGAGATTGGGTCTGGAAGAACTCAAACTATTTGTTTTTATACAGCAGTTGATTTTTTTGGAAAAGCATTTGGAAACAATAAAAGGCTGTGTGCACAGGGGAAAAATGCTTTTAGGGGGATAAAGATGCTAACTTCGTTTAACCTGCAGGGCCAAAGAGCTATCTATCATTGCCTTTTACTCTGAGTGTAAAACCCGTCACTCATCAGGCACCCTGTTAAAGAAACAACCCTGGGGCCCGGGAGATGGCTCAGTAGAATAAACGCTTCCCTGGCAAGTGCAAGGGCCTGAGTTCAATCCCCGGTTCTGCAAAAAGAAAGAAAGAAAGAGCCCTCACAACAACTCTGGGAGTAAAGGGCTGTGGTTGTTTTGACAGGAAACTGAGGCTTTGAGAGGCCCCAGTGTGCAATGGGAGGAGGTTTCAGTGGTGATAGAGCTGGGTCGTAGCCGGTAGCCCCAGTCTTTCAAGCCAAGGCCCATGAGAGGAGTCCCTGAGGCCTCAGGTTAGGTCAGGTCTGCTCTCTCCCAGCATATGCCCTGGGAAAAGAAGTATGTCTTTTTCCATAAAGGCAGGTGGGGAAACACTGAGGAACTCATGAGACCTCACTGCTTGGTACCACAGTTTAAAAAACAAAAAAAAATTAACAATATAGAGTGGGATGGTTTCTCGAAAAGCCAATGCATAAATCCAGAAAGCAAGAGTTGGGCCACTGTGACTAAAGGTGGGGACAAAGAGGGTCTGAAGCTTCCAGAGCCCAGCTTTAAGTCCTAACAGCCATTTTTTTTTCAGAGCATTAACACTTCCTGGGAGAAGTAGGAGTACCAAGTTGCCTAAGGCTTTGATTTGCGTTGGCATGAGTGGGGGACTCGTTTCTAAGTCAGTCATTGGAAGGCCACTCTCAAGATCGTAGGTCTTCCACAAGCGTAACATGCTACCAGCAGGTCCATCTGAGCCAGGCATTGCCTTCTCCACCTTCTGTCCCTCCATCCTGCAACCAGACCTGCCCTTTATAAAGGAAGAAACATTTCATCATTTTCATTTAATGAATTTTATTTTTTGAAGGTGAGACTTAGTACATTCAAAACCCCAGCCCTGGTCCTCTATTTTTGCCCACTTATGAGGCTTCCTCTGGTTTTATTTGCTATCTCAAATTCATGTTGGATCTTGCTATAAGAGCTGGTGCAGATGCCAAGGGTAGCCAGAATGGCTCACATGGACATCATCAAATTGACCTCATTTTCATACATATTAGGGATCAAACCCACTGGGGAGTTGACCATATATACCGTGTTCTTACTGAACAGCTTGAATTCATAATGAATAAGTTGTTCCCAAAATCCATTGTTTGGCCGGATGATGGGGCGGCAGGACTTGGTCCAAGTGTGGGCGTCCAGCAGATTCATGGAGCGGTATTTCATCAGGTACGCAAGACAGAGTGCAGGCGAACGGCTCACTCCGGCGGCGCAGTGCATCAGTGTACAGCCCTGTTTCATTTCCACGCTGTGGATGTGATCAGCAATCGGGTCAAAAAAGTCGTAGATGTTTGAGGTGGGAGTATCGGACACTGGCACCTGTACATATTGAATGTTCTCGAAGAATGTGTTCACCACCTCCACCGAAGCATTGATGACCGTGGTGATGTTATAGCAGGACAATATAAATTTGCTATTTGCAGCCTCAGCATTACTAACATAAAGGCTGCCGGTTATTCTGGAAAGGTCGTAGATGGTGGGTTGGCCCACAGCCTCAGATGGAAGGAGATTTGGAGGTGTTGTCATTAGGGCGGCAGGGCAGTAGTCTCTTGGTGCCCGAGTCAGGGAGCCACTTGCCAGCGATTTCAGGAAGCAACCTCACTGTGAAGTGCCCTGCAGTGGTCTAGGGAAAAAGAGGACCGGACGTTGGTCACTGCCCTCTCTCTCTACTCCGTCACCTCTGGCGTCATAATGCTCAAGGATCTAGAACTCTGGTTTCCATAACAACGGAATAGCGACCCTGGGAGGACATAACCCCTCTCCTCCCCCCACATCTACCCCGCCGGTCATCTAGTTCGTCTAGTTCCTCGTAGTTCTCAGTCATTTTTTTTCAAAGGCCTAATTCTTATCTTTCTTTTCTTTTTCTTTTTCTTTTCTTTTCTTTTTCTTTTTCTTCTTTTTTTCTTTTTTCGCGGAACTGGGGATTGAACTCAGGCCCTTGCACTTGCCAGGGAAGTGCTTATTCTATGGAGCCATCTCTCCGGCCCCACTAATTGTTATCTTTCTTTTAACGTGTTCTGTTACACCGTATCTATTTTATGCTTGAATGATTGGAGCACAGTGAACACAATACCTATGAACGCTTTTGTTTCATTAGTGTTGAAGAACACTCTCCCTGCAAAATATCAGTATCATATTTTATGCTGGAGAACATTTGGCTCATGTGATATGCTAATCTCTATAAAACTACATTGAGATAGGGGTTTGGCAGAGCCTGGTGAGCTGATGTGATATGTCTTTGTTGATTGTAGCCATAGAATCATGTTCCTGCTTACAAACACACCAGCGCTGGTTGTAAGGGAACATCACTACTCTAATCGATTTATAGACCTTTATCTATCATGAAGTTGCCCTGAAGTGGACAGTTGTGACTCATTTGGCTGTGTTACAATTCATTTATACATACTGCCCAAATAATGTATCACGCAATCATATTGTATTACCTGAAACAACAACCTAAATTATCCTGTCTGCTTTCTTCAGAAGGAAATCCTACGTAATCCCAATTACTCAGGAGGCTGAAGTAGGAGGCTTGCAAGTTTGAGATCAGTCTGGGTAATTTAGGAAGGTCCTGGCCCAAAATAAAAAGAGAGATGTAACTCAGTGTAGAGTTTTACTGGGTTAGGTCCCCACTCCTGGGGGGAAAAATAGAGAAAAAGGAGGAAATCTATTTGCTTTGTAAACTAAAAGGCACTTTCATTACTGCCAGAGGTATCTTCTTAGTAATATTAAGCATTTTGGAATGAGTCAAAGTTGCATCATAATTGGGCTAAAATATTATTTTTAAAATATCACCTGACATTTGGATTTCTTCTCTGCAAAGATTTTTACAGCATTTCGGTGAAAATTGAAAAGAACTATAATCTAGAACTAAGAAATTGTTTCCCAGAACAGCCAGAGATTCATATCCTTCACACTTGTTCGATCATTGTTCTGGTTTGTGTACAAATGTGTGCTGTGATATGGACAAAGAGGAAACAGACACCAACCTGTTTACAGTGCTCAGGGATGATAACTTCAAAACACAGTGCATTTTTCTTTCTCCCAGTTTTCATAATCAAATTGCTTTACATTACACTGTCAGTAGCTACAAACCTATCTGGAAGAAAATGAAGTACAGACATTAAATAAATGGAGATTGCTCAATCTGGTTCAAGTTATTTTAAAAGGTTTAATCCAGGGCTGGATGCATGTAGCTCAGTAGCCGAGTGCTTGTTTAGTATGCACAAAGCCCTGAAGTCTGATCTCCAGCACAAAACAAGAAAAATGAATGAATGAATGAATGAATGAATGAATGAGTACATAAATAAGTGTGTTTATGGCATCAAAAGAAACTTTATAATCTATATTGTAAAGGCTCTAAGCAGGTTAGACTCTAGTTAATTTATAACTACGCTCTTCTTAAACTTTAACAATGTAGTAAAAGTGAGCAAAATAATTTCAAATAATGGGGCTGCAGAGATAGCTCAGTAGAATAAGTGCTTGCCTGGCAAGCGCAGGGTCCTGAGTTCAATCCCCAGTAATGAAAAAAAAAAAAAAATTCAAACACTATTCTCAAACAAGCATTACCAGCACATAGTATGTTGATTTATTTATTCTTTCAGCCAGTATTTTATATGATACTCTTTAGTCTGAGGGATGTTGGTTGTCTCAAAGTTTCAGGAGGAAAAACCAGGAACGATGGTTCATGCCTACAGTCCTGGCACTTAGGAGACTGAGGTAGGAAGATCCCTAGTAGAAGGCCACTCTGATCAAAAAATTAAAAATAAAAAGGGCTAGGGATGTCTGTTAGCGGTAGAGCCACACAGGCATGAGTGAGAGCTGTGTTCAATCTCTAGCCTCCTCCTCCTCCAAAGCACAGGAAAGGGATTCAGAGTCATAGAAAGCACTTGGGAAGCTCAAGCAAGAGAACTGCAAGCTTGACCTACAGAGCAAGACCGTGTGTCAAAAGAACAAAAGAAAAATTCCAGTGTGGGGTATGTCCTAGGTGGTAAAGGGGCTGGTATTTCTTCCCTCTGTGTTTGGAAATGAGTCCCTTTCGGCCTCCCACTGGTCTCTATTTCTCTTTCTACTTCAGTACAGAAAATGAGTAAGAGAGTTTCCCAAGAACATTCCCACATTCCAGCACTAGGAAAAGAACCTGGTGTTAAAAACTAGCTAATATTTAGATTTCTCAGGTTGGCAGTCTAGGCCCTTTCCAACCTGACCTAAGCAAGCCTTTTAAATCTCGTTGTTTCATTCATCAGGTTTTCATTAAGAATCTGTTGTTGGGGCCGGGGAAATGGCACAATAGAATAAGAGCTTGCCTTATTCTATTGAGTGCAAGAGTCTGAGTTCAATCCCTGGTTCTGGAAAAAAAAAAAAAAAAAAAAAAAAAAAAGAATCTATTGTATGTTAAACATTTTCACCTAATACAAATTCTCAGTTCTGACCAAACAAATAAAATATTCTTGGTGGGCTGGTGAGATGGCTCAGTGGTCTAAAGCACCTACTTAGAACAAGCTTAGCAAGCAAGCACAGGGACCGCGGTTCAATCCCCCAGCACCACATGCCAGCCAGCCCCGCCCCCTGGTGGGCTGAGCTGGCCACACACACACACACACACACACACACACAAATAAATAAAATTTTAAAAAAATAAAATAAAATATTCTTGGTAAATACAAAGTGTACATTCCTGCCTCCTGACCTTGGCCACACCATCCCTCTTAAGAAACCCATTCCTCTTGGCTTTTTGAACCCCCTCCAAGCTTCAAGACTTTGTTTGATTAATTTAGAAAGAAGTTTCAGGGCCAGCCAAATAGCTCAGTGGATTAAAGTGCCTGCAAGCAGATGCAGGGGCCAGGGGCTCGATCCCTAGGCCTGCCTTGCCAGGGGTGCGCTGAGACAGTGATTGAGACTGGGCATGGTGGCGCATACCTGTAATCCCAGCTCTTGGGAGGCTGTAAACAGGCAGATCACTATGAGTGCAATCTAGTAGTGAGACCCTGAACACCCTGTAGACCCTTCCCTAAAAATACAGGAAAAAGAAAAAGAAAAAGAAAGAAGATTCACTGAGTGAGTATTCTAGAAAATTGAATCTGTCCTGACATGGCACAGATCGAACAGAGCACAGGCCTTGATTTCTGAGAGCTTACAGTTCGGTCAGAGAACGTGATCACAGCAGAGTCCAGAAGAAAGGTTGAGTCATTGTTTTATGTGTGTGTTTGGGGACCTGGGGTAGTAGAGTTCATGGAAGTTTTCACAGAAAACATGACCTGGAACAAAGCTTTTTGTTTCTTTACTATTTTACTGTTTATTCTGCCCAAGTTTTTGTTTTGAAAAATAGCAAACCTACAGAAAAGGTTTGCAAGAATAGAATATTGAGCACCTGTTTGCTCTTCATCTATAATTTCTCTATTGTTAACATTTCACCACATTTGCTTTATCTCTTTAGATACACAAACACAAATATGTTTCTTTGTTTGTCTTATTTTTTCTTCTGACAAGCTACTGAGCATTTATTGTAGATATAAGCAACAAGCACTTCAGCATGTGTCTCTTAAGAGCAAAGACACTGTCTCGCATAATTACGAGACAAAGACAACATTCAGTAAATTTCACATTGGTCTCATATGATTACCTTAATATATAATCCATATTCAAATTTTACCACGTTTCTCAACAATATGATTTATACTTTCTTTTGATCCAGGATCAAATCAAAGATTACACATTGTATTCATTATTGCGCTTCTTTAGCATCTTCTCATTTGGAATAATTCCTGAACCTCTTATCTTTGTAAACACTGGCGTTTTGTAAGAGTTCAGGCCTGTTTTGCAGAACATTTTCCAATTTGGCTTCATTTAATTTTTTCCCTCAGGATTAGAATCAGGTGAAATATTTTGGGCAACAATTTTACCAGAATGTGTGATTCTCAGTACAACACATCAGGGGACATATGTTATCTACTTGTCCTTTAATGAAGATGATAATTTTGACCACTTGGTTATAGTGGTGCTTTGGTTTGAGTATGATTTGTGTCCCTCCTCCTAAGCCTTCACATCCTGAAACTTAATGCTCCTTGTGGGGCATTAAGAAAGTAGAGCGTTGCCAGGCATGTGGCAAATGCCTATCATCCAAACACTTGGGAGGCTGAGGCAGGAAGAGTGCCATGAGTTCAAGGTCAGCCCGAGAGTGAACTGCAAAATGAAATGTCTCAAAAGATGTACATACACACACACACACACACACACACACACACACACACACACTGAAAAAGAAAGAAAACAATGTGAGTACTGTGGTACATGCATTGGAGACTGAGGAAGGAAGACAGCAAGTTCAAGCCCAGTCTGGGCAACTTAGTGACTTAGAAAGACCCTGTCTCAAAAATTTAAACAAGGAGTACTTAGGGATGTAGCTTAGTATGAAGGTGCTGGCCTCAATCCCCAGCACTGCTAGAAGCAAGAGAGGTGAGGCTGGAGGGCAGGAATGTTAATGTGACCATGGTGCTTAGAGTGGTTGGGATTGGATAAGACCATCA